AAAACAAGACTAAATTTGGTCTGTCAGTGAAAATTTAATAGACGTCTAACCATAGCCCAAGAATAGACTAGTCATCAAATAGACAGCTAATGAATGCCTACATATATATACATCTAATAGATAACAAAATGGCAATCCATCCAAACAAATTAAATATACAGCTTTTATTAAGAAAAATAACATTTTTAACAACTTGGACAACTTAAGACAATACAAAATTATAAAAATACAAAATAATGAATGACAAAAGAAAGTTTTATAAATACAATACACTTAAATATAAATATTATTATTAAAAAAATATGGAGTTTTTAACAACTTAACTTTTTTATAATAAAAATATAAAAATGGAAAAATTCAATATTTTAAATAACTTAATATATTTAAAAGAAAAAAAATCTAATACAAATCAAGAGCATGTTATCACACTTAACATTAAAACATAAATACCAAATTCAAGGTTATTTGGGCTAGAAATGGGTTACACATAGCCGGACTATATCGGGTCTATTGTTAACCAAGACGTTGAAATGACGGCTATTGCTTGCTGGGTTGTCTCTGTGTTAATATTTAAAATAGCTTGTCATGCTGTAAAAAAATATATTTGACAGAAATAAAATAGTTGTACATAATCATTATGTTCAGAAGAAACATGTTTGATAATTATTTAATTATGAAAAAGTTTGAACAGTATTTGGAATCCAACTATCAGGAATCCTGTTCCATTTTAGGTCATGAAAGCAATAAGAAAAATATTTATATATGTTGAGAAGTAATATTTTGACAAATACTTTTGTCAGTTATTTTTCACTCAATATATTTATGTGTGTAATTAGGTCAAAAAAAGGTCAAAAATATAACAGTAATACATCATATGATCCACATTTTACAACTTAATATCACAACATGCAACCCCTTGACTCATTATTAAAGGTTACATTTTTCCCCAAAATATATTTATTGGCATTTGTTTGCAAAGGTTAAAATTAACAACAGAACCCAAACTATCATATTCAATTGCTATTTATTTTTAGATATAATAATCAACACTCAAACAAAAATTGTATACAAACATTTAAATTGCACATAAGGCAGGATGGATGAAGACATAAACTGATCTCCCTAAACAAGCTCACAGAAAAACTGAATGTCTGTCTAAATCCTGAAAGTAATTCACAATAACTTAATTTGAGTCACTTGAACCCAGAAAAACATTATTTTTATTGAATTCATGAAAAAGGTTAGTCTCCGTTTTCTAATTCAACTGTGGAGCATTTAGCAATATACTCCATTCTAGAGTACTTTTTTTATGAGCTGTTGACTCTGAATCGCTTTCCTGAGGAAAAAGTAACGCAGTTTTCTTGACATCTTTCAGCAATTGTCAAAGGAGTATACAAGTGTATTTCTCGTAGAACAATATTCACCTTTGAATTACACATTATTTATTTATATTGAAAACAAGTATTAGGAAAAACACATTTTTTATTATTTTAAAATTAAAGGGTTAGTTCACCCAAAAATGAAAATTCTGTCATTAAATACTCAACCAACCTCATGTCGTTCCAAACCCGTAAGACCTTCGTTCATCTTTGGAACACAAATTACCGTATTGGCCCGAATATAAGACGGCCCTGATTATAAGACGACCCCCCTTTTTCCAGATGTACCTTTTGGAAAAAGGCTCCAAGAAAAAAACATCGTCTTATATTCGGGTCAATACGGTAAATTAACATGTTTACGAAGACTGCCTTATGTAGGCCTACAGCATGCGTCTTCCTCTGCTTGTAAACGAGCTGGAGCGCATCTGGGTTCTACGAAGACAATGGTTAAGTTGAGAGGTTTAGATAGGTGTTTGAGTGATTAATAATCAGTATCTAACCTGGGGAAGAAATATTTATTTAATGTTATCCTCGTTATATTTGATCTGCAACAACGTGACCTTTTATAAAGAAACGTTTGGTCATTAACTTTTAAATGCATCATTTGAGGAGATGTGGATCACAAAGCAGCTTTTCCTTTTATTAAGAAAAATAACCCAAGACAACAACTAGAATGAACACACAGGAGAACCCCGATAGCACATGTACATCACAGAGACATCTATTTGACGTGTGCATTTACATCTGCAAGACGTATTTTTTAGAGTGTTTGCTCATCTGTGATACGTCTATAGGACGTTTCCTATCAGATGTCAAATAGATGTTTAGAAGATGTCTTTAAGATGTTTTTGATTTAGAATGTATGTAAAACTGACATCTTAAAGACATCTATCAGATGTTTGTACACAGCAGATGCTTTCCAGATGAAGCAATCTTTAACAGACCTCTTGCAGACGTACGTGTGCTATCTGGGAAGGAACCCAGCAAGCAATAGCCGTCATTTCAACGTCTTGGTTAACTATAGAC